CCCCCCTCTATATCACCTCTTTTTCTTTTATCTAGCAAAAATCAAGGTAATTCTTTTATGGTTGAGGGATATTTTAATCTTTCTAAGTTAAGTACTTGTTACATAATAGATATCACTCAATGATATTAGTTTTGAGATGTTAGGTTTAAGTGAAAAAAGTTCATGGGGGTTAAATCAAATTTTTTACGTTGAGATAGATTACCTACAAAACACCTAAAACTTGACGAAAAATTACTCAGTTTCAAATAGTTTTTTTGGGTTGGAGGGGTAGGGGACACATGTGACATCAATTTTATAACGGTGGAGTCTATAGCAAAACCATCACTCAATGAATTGATTGAGGTTATTTGTCCTTAAATTTATCCTATACATCAACTCTGAAAATCTTTTGCTATAAAAATCTCTAATGACCTGTTTGGATGGAGGGTAGAGAGGGGGAAGGGAAGAGAAATTTTATTTTAACATTGTTCGGGAGTTTTATTTAGGAGGATAGAGGAGGGGAATGAAGGAAAAATTTGGTTCAAATTCTTACACCCCAAATTGGGGTGTAATGTAATGGAGGGGAAGGGAAGGAAGGCAAATTTTTTTCCTTCCTTCCATTTCCTAAGTAAACTCCCAAACACACCATAAGAGAAACTTAATCTTTATTTGGGATGTGTATGCGATTATTATGATTCCCCTTGTCTTTTATGAGATAATAATTTATTGGATAAAGTAAATTAAATTGTCATTTTATATTACCCACCTTCTTATAAGTTTATGAAGCTCATAGCTTGGGTATGAGTATTGTTACGGAAACTGTATTCTTCTAATTCCTTAACATAAATTTTTGTATATTGTTTGACATTGGATGTATATGAATTATTTTGTTAAAATACAATCAACATGAGTGCATAATATGTATAAATCATTCTCAAAGTGTATTTTATAATTTTTAGAAACTAGAGAGTAATCATTTTGACATATAAATTAATAATTGTTGAGATGTAAAATGAGTACAATATCATATTTTGGAATTGATCACATAGTTTATGTTTTCGTTATTGATTGAATTTGCACATTCTAACTTACAAAATTCTAGAAAAAAATTCTTGAATATATATAACGGCTTTTCTATAGAGTGCCCATGGGCACTCTATAAGAGAGGAGAGAGATAGAGAGAAATGAAAAAGAAGAGGATCCCAATGCAAATTAGGGGACCCCCCTCCTCATTCATTTCTCTCTATCTCTCTCATCTATTATATATAAAGTGCCCATGGGCACTCTATAATACATTTAAATCAATAATACATTTAAATTGCTAACTAATCTTAAATCAATAATAGTGGTCCCTTACATCAAATTTTTTTTTGAAATAATACATTTAAATTGCTAATTAATCTTAAATCAATAATATTGTAAGGCTTTAAACATCACTATTTATCTAGAAGACAAAATGTTAAATCTAACAAGATTTTACACATGAAAATATAAAAAGAATTAATATATTATGATAATTATAAACTTTTTTATAACCATGTTATAGTAAATAAATAAACTTAAAGTAAATAATTAAAATATTTGACTACGTGCAGTGCACGTGCATTCCACCTAGTTTAGCGAAAAAGAGGAAGAAAGAAACGCATAAAGTCCAAAAGAAAGAAATTAATAAAAAGATCTGCTGAGAAACAAGGAATCAAGGAGACAAACGTTATTTGTAATGTTGCAGGACTAGTTACCAATAAAAAATAATAAAAAAAAACATCCTAATTTTTTTGAAATAAA